ACGCTTCCCTTCCTCCTCTCGATGTGACGAATAATGTTCCACGTTTAATTTAACGAAGAGGAATCGTAAGGGGTAAGGCGTCCAGTCAGGGCTAAACTTGTGCCCTCCACTTTGAGATCGATAATGGAACAGAAATGCGCACAGGTCTACAAGCTGGCGTTGTGAGACTTTACTTCTTCGGATCATTCCTTACACAGCTAAACTCCAAAATGGAGTGGAAGTCTCACATGAACCCCAAAGGAACATTTACATCGAGGGAATGTGGATGTGGCCTTTTTAAAGCGATTAAACAAAAAAAAAAAAAAAGATCCAAGAACAATTCCGATATTTCCTTCTGAGGAGCTGATGTAATTCTTCGATTTGCAATCGCACCCTGCAGGCGCGGCGTTTGTTTATGTTTGAAACTGTGCACTTTGTTAACAGATCCGGCCTGACGGACTCCTCCCGGGGGTGCTGTGCTCCTGTTGGGCCAATGAAAGCAGCCAATTACTCTGCAGGCCCCGCTGGCCGCCAATCAAACAGGAAATGGGGAAAGTTTAGAGATGACGATGGGGTTCGGGGAAGGGCACTTGCAGCGCGCTTTGTCAATGGAAGGAAGAATCATTGCGCTTGCATTACTGCACGGATCTATACGGGAAAAATGGCTGACTTTCAACCGTTCTCTCTCTTTGGCTGCTTCCGATATCAGTGATGAAGAATCATAAATTGTTTCAATTGTTCGTCTTACCTGTGTAAATAAAACAAATGATGCGAGTTCCAGCCATGCTCAACTCTACTCTGTAACACAACCGATAACCCCCCCACCCCCAGCCCCCTCGATCTCGCTTTCTTCTTCAATGTCGCCCGTCCTCTCTCGCTCGCTGAGCTCAGTCTTTGCTCTTCTGCACATCGATCATCCTGCCACTTGTTTCATCCATCCCAATCGCACCCACCGCCACCCGGCTGTGCTCGCCTCCCCTCGAAAGTAGGTGTCGCCGCGTCTGTCGGTGGCTGCACTGATGAATCGCTGATACTGTCAGCGGTCGTTAGTGATGGCCCTCGCCGCTGACTGATGCATCTTTGCGATCGGCAAACGATGCGTTATTGATTCAACCTCCGCATTGGTCGGATGTCAAAGTGGAAGAGAGCGGGGTAATGGCAGATGGAATGTCTTTCATCACCTGCATTTCTATTCCGACGGAAGGGAACGTATATGATTGCAACATCATTTGTCATTTCACCAATATTCAAACTGTGCCACGCAGATTTGCGTGACCCAACTTGCAAACTCACTCATTCCCGCATTTTAGCGGATGAGTGGCTAGCGTTGGCCACTCAACCGATAGCTTGACAGCAAATCCCAGTGGAGGGCTGACAGAGGTGGATTTTCTGTATGTTTTAAAAATGAGAGGGTCGATGTGACACTGAAAAACATGTCGTACAACGATAACTAGGAAAGTCGTCATCGGTAACTAACGACTTTGCATTTTGCTAATTTCAGTTATTTCGTCGCCTATTTATTCTTCTGAATGTGGAGCAAAAGATGAAGTGGGAGAAAAATTCAGCAGAGAATGATAGTCAGGAGCTGGGAATTGATAATTGGGTACAAAGCAAAAAGGAAAGTAGGACAAGAAGCCTTCAAATAAAGGCAGCAGAGAAAGAAGCGGCAAGCCAAAGGAGGCGATGCTGGAGGATGAGATTAGGCGAGCGAGAGCGCCAAGACATCCAAGATGAAGAGAATAATTATGACGGTCGGTGCCGCTGCTGGCAACTTGACAACTTTCGTAATGATGACCGGGGAATGACGATACAGTAACGAGTCATCCGTCCATCCATCCGTTCCTTTTTCTGCCGTTTTTCCCGTTCGGGGTCACGGAGGGGCTGCGGCTTATGTCATCTGATTTTAGCACAAGAGGCCGGGTAGCCTGCGTTTGATGTCCGAACTGCATACACGCAGCCAGCTCGCATCGGCTCCTTTGTTGAACGTGCGCGTCCAATGAGCCATTATGTCGAATGACAAAACGGTGCATTTCCCTCCGGGTCATGTGGGTTGCAGATTATTTGTGCATTGGTTGAATGAAATCATTTCCTATTCACGGAGCTGAATTTGGGTCAATGTGTCTGAAATTGATCGATGGCTCCAAGACAGTCTGTTTTGGTAAACTCTTGTTTCATTTTGGCTCGATGGTGAGGTCTGCAGTCGTCGCCCCTTCTGTGGTTTCACAGTTCCGCCACACGATTTTGTGTGTACGCGTGCTCAGAGCTGTGCTTAAATTCACGCACATCATCACGCCCAAGTCCATTATTGGCCCATAGTGTGTAGTGGATGACAACTTTTGATTAATAGCCACCATATACATAATCTAAGTAACAAATTTACTTCGGCTGAATGGATGTATTGAAAGAAAATGTTTCTTTGCTAAACACGAATTTTGGATAACCGAAAAAAAAAATCTTTCTGAATGCTCATGACAGTAACTTGTGAAAGCCTGTCAGGTTGCTTTGCAGAGGACTGCAGAAAAGTATTGGCTGTATTGAAGAGATTGAATGTGAGTGGGAGTGCACGGTGGGAATCAGGGCAAGGGTGGGACCAAAAAAAAAAAAAAAGGTCCTCCTGGACAGTGAGTTAACGAAACTAAAGGAAGACACTGGGAAGAAAATATTGGACTTATTAGAGTGGGAGAGCAAGGCAAGCGCAAAGACAAAGATAGAGGAAGGGAGGGGAGGAGAGGGATGATGTTATTTTGTCAGTGTTTCCCCGTGGGGGGTTTGGCTGCTTGTTAAAAAGTCCTGACAGAGAAACCACAGCAATAATACAAACACACACACACGCACACACACACACGCAAACGCACACAGCAATATACATTGCTGCCCCTATGCTGTACACTTAAAGTGAGTTTCTTCCGATGTGAGTGTGATTCAGCCATGGAAATTCACAGCGAAAAATACTCGACTGTGACATCACATGTCGGGTTTTATAAGCATATGCGTGAGGCGGGCCAAGTTCGCGGAACAGTCAAAGGCCGCCGCGTTGTTTCATCTCCAAATTGAGTTCAAATTGAATGTGTTTTGAACAGGGTCGGAAACCTCAGCATGGGCCCAAAGTTCTTTCTTTCTTCAGTTCAGATGAAGTGGTAACCTTTTTTCTCAAAGAGCATCCGACATTCAAAGTAAAGGACCATAACTGTTTAATTTGCGCCGGCCTTATTCGTGTGTCCTGCTGTGTTTTGTTAGACAACCTTGATGGCACACTTACATCAACAGTTTTGTATGATTCCAGGTGGAATATATTGTGGGTGTTTAAGACCACGTAGTTACAATCATCGCTAATATGACTTTAGGTGACTGCAAATGTCTCCATATGGAAAATCAATAGTTTACATTCATTAGTATTATTATTATTTTACGGTTTATAATATTTTACATTATTGCGTGTGAGATTTAATGTGTGTGTAGGTTTGTTCGATTCAACCACGATATATTGTTTTATTGTAATCATTTCAACCTCATGTCGTTTTGTATTCTTTGGTCTGTGGTGACTCTGAGCATTGACCATGTGGTATTTTGGTCCCACCCTCCACAGAAATTTCCATCTCTATTGTTTTGCTGCAGCTATTTCTAGCCCTGTCTGGTTATATTTAGCAACGTGCCACCGTGAATTTTTTGTTTTTTTTTTTTGGGTGACCTCACTGAGCCTCTCCTCCAGTGGGCACTCCCGGGCTTTTGGATTCAGCATGTGACACGCTGTTTGTGCCACTCGTGCAGCTGTACTTTATATGACAAGTATGTACAGGGTCCTTTTGGTCTTTAGCGGGTTGAGTGTGTGGCAGACAAACCTGCAAAAACTCGTGTGTGTGTGTGTGTGTGCGTGTGTGTGTGTGCGTACGTACATTTGTGTCCACTCTTGACGCTTTTGTCAGCACGAGAACTACTATTTATAACTCCTGTCTCTTTCAACTTCTCAAGGCGTGTGCCCATATCCCGAATGTATTACGACAGTGGAAAAAAATACTACTTGTTGTTCACTCTTCTGTTCATATTATCATGACACCACAAAAAAACAATTCACACAACAACAGTCTTTGCTTAGCCGCCAAATGGAGATTTAGAAGAACTATTGAAAACAAAACCATACATGGCTGACCACATCCATCCGGCCATTACGGGTTTCAGTTCATTACGTTAATTGCAGCACTCACCTGCAGCCGTTTAGCAACATGAGAGGATCGAAATATTGCAAATACAAGTATATACTGCCCGGCCAATCTGACTAAATCCCCCCCCTGCTAAGTCACAGTTAGCCCTATGTGGCTACAAAGTGTGAGAGTGTCGACGACCGCTGTGATGGAGACAGGAAGTGACACGTCTTACAGCATGACCTCCTTGCTATGCCACCATGCTCCGGCATTACTTCACTTTCTCTGCCAATGGAGCGTACAAGCGCGCGCGCGCACGCAGGGCCAGAGAAAAACTCGTGTCTTGATGTAGGGGAGGCAAAAAAAAAAAAAGATGCACAATTAACACTAACACTGATGACGGAGTACACAGTTCAGAGGGCGTCGTCGCACGAGGGAGGCAAATGCTTGGTCAAGCATGTACTGCGGCCAAGAAATTTCACATCGTTAAAGAGTGCAATCCGCTCGACTGCATGTCGAAGTATAAAGTCAAAGATGCTCTTGGGATGAGACGATGGTCCAGATAAGCAGACTCCCCAAAGTTTCTCCAACCCCTCGCCCATATGACTTGTCCTTCAGCTGTTATTTATTGTTTTAGCGGTGGGGTAGTTTGATGATATCTTTGATATGGGCTGCATATAGGCACCATTCAAATTAATGCGAAACACACGTACAGAAACACACGCCAAGTTTTTCCTGTTCTGAGAAAAAATACTACAATGGTCCACCAAATTTCTTTTTGAATGATACTTCAAAAAAATACTGTGGATGAAGTCATGGAATATAGACCCAAACGTCGCACAAAAATGTCTCATTGCTCTTTTTTTTTTTGCCTGTTTTCAGGACGTGAAATCAACATTCTTCCAGTTTGGCGCTTCCATCCAGCAGGAGGCTCTGCTGATGCTGAACATCATGGAGGAGTACGACTGGCACATCTTTTCGATCGTTACGTCCAAGTTCCCCGGCTACCAGGAGTTCATCAACATTCTAAAAACGACTGTCGACAACAGGTGCACTTCTTTTTAGTTTGCCTCAATGGCGTATCTCACACAGATCATTTCCACATCATTTGCGTATGTCGAGTACCAACTCCAACATGCGGATGGGATGCATGTCACCCATACCTCCAATCCCTCATCATCTTCCACGTCACTTGTACTCAAAATCATGGCCACGAGAAAATGTGACGTGTTGCCTAGCTACCATTAAGTGGTGTCCGCTCATCAGTAAATTTGTTTACCAGCTTGAAATTCAAATTCAGCGTCAGACACTACCGAACCCTCCCTGTTGAAAAATAGATTTAATGAAGACACACAGTACGCACAGGGAGCAGTAAACCGTTGAATTGAAATGTTTGTCTAAAGCAGTGAATTAATTGAAAAAATAAAAATAAAAATAAAGCGCCAACAGTTGGTGACATTTTATGACAATTTAGAGCTGTGCGATATGGACATTTTGATCCTCAATATAAAAAATTTAAATAACATGAGACATAGATCCAGCTATGGTATTTTTGCTGAAAATTTAACAAATGGCATATTTTTCCACATTCAGTTCGATAAAAAGTTTGATTGAGCCCAAGCAGGTTTTGACACCGATGCCATTTCGTAGGCCAAATTTAACTCTTCCACCGAATCAGCATACGCACCGTGTCTCATCTGCATCGCATTTGTTCAATGCATATGCAAGACGGCTAATAACCGCATGGAGGTTCAGCAAATCAGACAACATCCTCGATGCCGGCGTTGTGCCGACAGAATAATGGAGCTTTACGTCGACAGAAATGTCGGGATGCCGCATTGACATCCGTCCTCACCAGTAGATCGAACGGCAAGATCTACTGCTCTCCAAAATAAATTTGACATCTGTTAAAAGCCAATTAAAAAAAAAAAAAAAAATATATATATATATATATATATATATATATACACACAAATAAATATTTTCTAATGACCTCTTCCAGAAAGTTAAGTCAAGTGGGTTCCGAGCATCTTATTTCTGGAATAATTTTTCCATTTTCTTTTTTGTGCTGTAATCTCATCCATCAGCACAGCAGATGCCCCTGCGGTGAACGAGGTTGTTTACCGTCTTGGCAACTTACTGCGCTCAGTGTTTGGCCTTGGATGTTTCATCCGCGCTTCTCATATTGGTTTCAAAGACAGCAGCCCACGAGGATTCAAGCGGCACTCTTGAAATTAATGTGGATGACAGTTCGGTTGAGTAGTCCTGCAGCGTTGCCGTCTCCCACACCTCTGGGTCATTTTGACTGATGCCGTCGTCAAACGCTTAACAGCGCGGCGGCCCATAATATTGAGCCGCGAGCCAAATAAAGGGTTCGGTAATTCTGAGATGACGGCGATAGTTCGGATTCTGTGAATTACGGGACTGAAATCTCGACTTGTATCGCTTGTGCCCTTTCGTGACGACGATCGGTCGGTCTGAGGGAAGGAACAATTATGCGCTCAAAAGTTCAACTATTGTGTGCTGGGAGTACACATGCAATGTAATTGAGCGGGGAAATGGAAATATTTATTCCCTCCGATTATTGACCTTCATGGAATAATAAAAAAACATCATTCATGAAAGATGAAATCATTTGCGGCAGTCGCCGTAGTTAACCGTCCATTTCCCGCGTCGCTGTACGACCCGCTCGCTGGAGGCTTGGTCATGGGCAGACAGCTTGAATAGCAAAGGACCTCGATCATCTCAATTGAAAATAAAATGGGGACGGTCAGCTCAGTGAGTCAAGGCTGAGCTGGCAGATGTTGCGGTGCTCTCAGGAGCCGACATGAAATGCAGCCGAGATGCCGTCGAGCGGGATGCTATCGCTAAATATACGCGACGCATGAGTTGACTGAAATGATGAATGTCAATACAGTATATTTTGGTGTTATTGGTGTTCACTGTATTTACGTTTCTGCAGAGTTTTGAAGTGAAAGTTTTGTTCTTGTGTTTTGTTTTGTTTTTGTCACTGCAGGGGCTTGGGCATACATCGGGATAGTGGCATGCATTTGGATGTTTGTGAAAAATGGTCCGGTTTGATTTGAAAATAACACTCAACATATTGACCCAATAACTTGACCGTGAATGCAGAAGATGCAAAAACTTAACCCAGTTCACAGCCTGTACGGACGTGCGCAGCTGTGCTCTCTTTGACTGCTATTTCACTGCCGCAGGGTAAAACTCATCTCATTCCACAGCTTTCGCCCAATTTGTTCCACATTGTATCTTTAATTACAGCAATAGCGCCCTTTTCCCGTCCAACGCTGACGCAATTCCCCTTTGTGGTAAGGGAATCTGCTGAATATTATCACTTTGGACATTTTTTGGGGGGGAAAAAAAAAAAAGATCAGTCATTAGATAAGAAAGATAAATGATCTTATCGCGCTTATCTCGTGGGGCTTTTTATTGCGCACTTGTTACCTCTCACTTCAGATAACTTTCTAGAGAGATGGATTATAAAAGGGATGTTATCTGATCTATGTTCCCTCTTTTGAGCAAGATGGGTTGGAAGCCAAAAGTAATCTCAACCGAATCCGTTTAATCCAAACGCTGTCCCGGAAACGGCGGTAAAGATACTTACGCAGACTGACCTTTGTTCTTCCAGGAAAACTTTTTATTATTTGCGTTCTATGTGCGGTGATGAATATAATGACGGTAACTAACTTCCCAGTTTAAAAAGAAAATCATGAAACCATTTGACAGAACTAATCTCTCAACGCTTCCATCCTGTGCAGTTTTGTTGGCTGGGACCTGCAAAATATCATCACTCTGGATGCAGTGGAGGAAGATAGCCGCTCTCAGATCATGCTGAAGAAGGTTCAGTCGCCGGTAGTCGTGCTCTACTGCTCCAAGGACGAGGCCGTCTACATCCTGGAGGAGGCTCGCTCGCTGGGCCTGACGGGATTCGGCTACATCTGGATCGTACCGTCTCTGACCACCGGCAACCCGGAAATAACGCCTGAGGAGTTCCCATCGGGAATGATTTCGGTCTCCTACGATGACTGGGATTATCCATTGGAGGCGCGCGTGGGCGGTTGGCCGCGTCGACAAAACCCGTTGGTTTGAATGTGAAAAATCGAGCGTCCGCAGCTGATTTTTACAAAGCATTCAAACGTAATTGGTGGATTTGGTTTCCAAATTCAACATATATGTATGTGTGTTGGACTGTTTGAACTTGGGAAAGGACATAGGAAACCGCATACCGTATTTGGCCGCGTCGACAAAACCCGTTGGTTTGAATGTGAAAAATCGAGCGTCCGCAGCTGATTTTTACAAAGCATTCAAACGTAATTGGTGGATTTGGTTTCCAAATTCAACATATATGTATGTGTGTTGGACTGTTTGAACTTGGGAAAGGACATAGGAGATGGTGGCGCTCATTTTTTTTTTCCCACTCGTGTCTTCTAAATCACACAGTTGGGGGGGGGGGATTGAAAGTTGTGAAGGAGACCATAATCACGGCTTTTTAGATTGCACTTCCAAACCGCATACCGTATTTGGCCGCGTCGACAAAACCCATTGGTTCATTTTTTAAAATGTGTGATTTGAATGTGAAAAATCGAGCCTCCACAGCTGATTTTTACAAAGCATTCAAACATAATTGGTGGATTTGGTTTCCAAATTCAACATATATGTTTGTGTGTTTGACTGTTTGAACTTGGGAAAGGACGTAGGAGACGGTGGCGCTCATTTTTTTTTCCCCCACTCGTGTCTTAATCTAAATCACACAGTTGGGGGGGGTGAATGAAAATTGTGAAGACCATAATGACGGTTTTTTAGATTGCACTTCGTAGCACCCGTCCTTTGGTGTACGTGTGACAGGATCTAAAGGGTGGAGCACTTTATTTGGCACGCCGACCTGTCTTCCTATCCTACTTTGGAAATGCAAGTCATGTCAGGATTTTAAGCGCCCAAGTGGATCGTGCGCCTCGGTTGGAAATGTTGCTCAGGTACATTGGGATTCGTTTGGGTCTCCCTCCCGCAGCGATGTTATTTTCACCTTTGTCCTCCCCGCTCGTTGAAGAATCTTCTCCCCCCGGTTTAAGTGGAGCAAAGCAAGATGCAATAAGAGGACACCAGCAAGCGCCAGAGCTTAAAGGAAGGAGGACGAGTGGGAGTGGGAAAGAGAAAAGAGGCTGATAAAGAGGTGAATGAGAGTTGAGGAGGAAGTTTTGTGATTTCGGCAGTGAAGACAAGGGCGGGCGGAATGGATACAAGGGCTGCAGTGGGATGCTGCGCTCCAAAACCGAAGAGCCCCCTCGATGAATCCTCCTGTTCCCCGTCTCTTTGCTTTCCCCTTTCATCCGCACGCGCCTGCTCTCCTTCTTCACCTTTTTATAGCTGTGAAGCCGCCAGTGAGAGATGGCGGTGGTCTTGCCGGCTCTGTCTGCCCGACAATATCACAGATGTGCACATTCTACACACACTGGGGACCACCGCGCACACGCCGTATTTTCAAGAGCCCGTGCAATTATTTCTGTTCGGCATCGGTTATTGTCTCAAAGAGGGGAAACGGAAGCAAATCCTCCTCGATCAGGACATCCGAGTGCCCGTAAATCCGAGCCGGCTGACTTCATTGCCATCGTGCTCAGCTGCCTCGAGGTTGTTTCGCAGGTGATGAGGGGCCACAGATGGCTCTGTCCGCTTCAGAGAACTCAACCAATGAGCCCCCGTGGCCGGGACTTGAGAAGCATGATTGGTCAAGCCGAGGTCGGCCCCGCGGGCCATTAAAAGTTGTCAAAATGGCCAGCGGGAGAGATAAGGGGAGAAGGTTAACACGTACGCTGAGGCGGACACGCAGACGCGCAAATCAAAGGGTTAAGTCTTGAAAATGCACCGGTGGTTATTTGCAGTGGTTCAGTCGTGTTGTTGTGGCTGCGCTTCGCTTAGCGTTCTGGCAAGCTGAGGACATTTTTCGACCACCAATTTGGTGAGAAAAATCACAATGAATAATTCAGTATTTTTTGCAGTTGCGTTTGTCATTTAAATCGCCCTGACAAGATTCCAATCGTAAAAAAAAGCGAACTGGCCGCCGGTTGCAAACTGAGCAGCTTTCAGTTTTTCCTCTAAATTAAATATCCCGTGTGCGTTCGTGGGTTTGCGCCGTGTCTGGACTTGTACACGTGCGCATTAGTAAGAAGCCAGGAAAATATGACCCCGAACCCCTGAAGAGAATGTGCTGTCATGACAGATTTACGGCGGACGGCTTCACCTCGCCATGGCAAACAATGTGCTTTCAAACACTTGCTTGTCTCGTCGTGTGTTCTGACAGGTAATTTCAGTCTGCGGCCCTCATCCACGAGGGGCGGGCCTCGCTGCACGCTCACGCACAATCGGCTGTTCTGTTAAGTGTTGTGGCATTATTTCATGAACAACGTGCACCTCTAGGAGCAGCAGGAAAAAGAGTTTGAAGCATCATACCGAATACGTACTTTGATATGTAAGGTGGGGTTGGAGGCGAAGGCTAAAATCAACGTCGAGTACAAAGTTTGAATGTTAATTTCGGCTTGGAGATAAACGACAAAGACGTTGTGGAAAACCCTGCCACTGCAACGCTTGTAAACAACATAACTCGAATGAAGATGTTGCAAAATTAATAATAGCATCAATGTCAACCTTCTGAATAAATGATCAGCATTCCTAATTAAGAATTGGTGAGAGCATACGTAATCATAAATGTCCTCAACACGAGTGATGTGTTGGATGATCCCTCAAAAGTAAATTGTTTTCATCTCAGGGATGTGCAGTCGGTGATTTTATTGTCACTTAGCCCTGCAGGTAACGCCGTCAGAGACGATGAGCGGGAGGGAGTGAGTGCCTCTCAAGTCAATAAATCATGCACAGCAGGCACGCGCCTGCGTGAGACGATGCGCCGGTTCATTATGAAGGAAAAGCAGACAGTTCCACTTTCAACTGAAAATAAGGAGGAGCCAGAATTTTACAAGGAATCGGGGTTTTTTTTTTTTTCCATACTCGAGTTAATGGCAAATGATTGACACCTCACCGGTCACGTCGTATGTTTGATTGGTTGTTTTTCCTGCAGGGGTTTCTCGGAAAAGAAAAATAATAATAATAATAATAATGATAATACCCCTTGCGAAATCATCCTATAAGTTATTTGTCTCATGGCGTAACCTGAAGTATCCTTGCTGGTTATGCACGCGCATCCCGTGTGTAGCAGTCGAACTCCAAGCTAAGCTTATTTAATGGAACGACGATCCCCAAGACTGCCAGGGAGTCCACAACATCAGCTTTTGGGATTATGAATGATATGAAAACAGTTTCCGACTGGTGAATTTCAAGTAAACGATCCCGAAAAGATCATCGCGTACGAGTGGCCGATTATAAAACTTCCTGACGGATGAACGCTCCATCGTGTGACGTTTGAAAAGCTCAAAGACTGAAGACAAAATAAGATCCGATACGGTTCTAGAGAAGGGCTCCAAAGGAAAAAAAAAATAAAGAAAAACTTTCAAAAAATTTAAGGCACAGCGGTTACTCCAGTGGACACTTATCGCATTATCGGGTTACAAGTGTGCACGAAAAGGGTCAACAAATCATCGCATTTCGGAAAAGATGTTCTGATGTCCTCCAAATCATTTACATGTCGGAGAACGCCGCTGAATCTCGGCCGTCCTGACACCTGAACACCGGGGACAGCGCGAGGTGCGAGACGAAGGCTCCGCCGCCGTCGTCTTCATCTTGTTTTTAGTCGCTTCCATGCCGCACTCGGCGCACGCCACCTGCGGTGTCGCTTCTGTCAAACGACTTTCCATCCCTTAGGATCCTCTTTGCAATGATTGCGACTATTTTATCTTCGTGCGTGTGCCTGTGTGAGCATTTTAACACACTAAATGACACAAAATTCTATTCAAGAATAAGGTGGTTTTAAGAAAACTAAAAAAATATATATTTTTAAAAAGCAATAGCTCCACGATTGCAATACACGTATGTGCTCCCCTCTACCGCAGTGCGCACATAATGCTGGTTCACTCTGGCGCAGCGCTGCCCCCCACCCCCATCCCCAACCCCCTTTCACTCCAAAAGTGGAGAAAAGGAGGACACCGTAACGCTGAGGATATTTTTATCCTAACTCGGTTGAGGCTTCGCTCGTCGTACTTCCCCTTCTTCTCATTCCGTCCGCCTCACGCCTTTTGCGCTCGCCATATTTCTGGGTGACCCCTTCTGCGCTGTGTGCTCACCTCCGCCCCCTCCGATTTTCAGATCTAATGAATACGGAGATAAAGACCTTCTCGTGGTTTGCGGCAGCGTGGTTGAAAATGGTTGAACCGGAATGAATAGGCATCGCGTTGCAAATTGATGAGGTGGGGCAAGTAATTTATGTCTGTGTGTGTGTGTGTGGAATCGAACCCGGAACCTCTGCACTGTGAGGTCGACGCGCAAATCTCCTTTTCAAAGTGACCATTGAAAGTTATGGATGCATTCGTTGTCGCGGATACTTGGCGATTGGAATTGTTTCTCCCCTCCAAACGTTTTGGAGACTTTTGACTTCACGTCCCTGTGACCGGTGCTGGAACAGGGTCAGAAAGGGGTCGGTGTGGAAGAGGGTGGGGTTGTCCCTCTGCCGCGCTACGCGACCACTGGCAGATGAAGTCAAGAAAGCGCGAGTGAGGAAGGGCGGTCATGATTAATGTGGATGCTTTGCTCATCCGAGAATATCTTCCCATCGCCCTCCATCTTAGCTAATGTGACCTGCCATGTAGGTCACTCGTTGCAGCCTCTGCGAGTATGTGATGTACGATTAGAGCATTACTCGTGGTCGAGTCCCTTTTGCGCAGAAAGCTGAATTTTCCCAAAGTTCATCTTGACACGGATGAGTTGTCAACGCAAACGACTTCATATTTGGACCCGGAACGATACTCGTATATATTAACGATTGGTCCTTTTGCCCCCCCCCTTCCTGTCTCAGGTACATGATGAATGTGACGTGGGAAGGCAGAGACTTGTCTTTCACGGACGATGGATATCAAGAGCATCCAAAATTGGTGGTCATTGTTCTCAACAAAGAGAGAGAGTGGGAAAAGGTAGGAACCGCGCATTTCCGCGGTCGCCTTGACGTCTACGTTTTTTTTTTTTTGGTCCTTGTTTTGATTCTTCAGTTACATATGTGTTAACATTCGATACTTTCGCTTCCGCTCTTGTTACCGCAAATGACTTCAAAGACTTCTTTTGTAATTTTTCGGCTTCTGCATGCGTCGGGCGCCATGTTTCACTTTTCATTGTTTCTCTTCATCATTACTGTTTGTTTCTTGTACAAGCAGATGCCATCAACTCTCGCCACCTTGAGAAACTGCAAGGGAAAAAAAGGCATCCCGGCATCCCCCGTTTGATTGACAAGTATATCTCAGAGAGTCCCTTTGCAGGAGAAACGAAACGTAACAAAGGCCAAGCACCACTTTTGCAATGCTACGTTTGCGTTAGCGAGTCGCCCTTTTTAGCTGAGCGATGAGCTCATTTAGCCGTCGAGCCTATGGATTGCCTTAACGAGCTCGTACGAGCCGGCGTCCCGAAATGAATGGCCACCGTAAATCGCAAAGTATTCCGGCCACTGTAATGGACTTTAAATGGCCGCCATGCATCTGAATACCGATGAGCGACTGCTTCTTGCCTGCCTTAAACGCCTCCCGTTGAATCGCCGCTTTGGTCCTACTTCAGGCCGGCTGAGCACTCGAGATCGTAGATCAGATGCGACGGCGGCGGCATTAACGACGAGACGTGACGAGCGCCATCGGTGGTCCTACGCTTGTGACTCTCTGAACTTGATTGGATTTAAATGCCCCCTTCATTTTTCTTCCTCTATTATCGCTTCTGTTTTGATCTCATTGGTCGTTTTTCAATACATGGTCGTTTTTTTCGGCCAAAAACGCCTTACTATACATGGTCATTTTTTTCGGCCAAAAACGCCTTACTATACATGGTCGTTTTTTTTTTCGGCTTTTCCTCCAGCCGCCCCTCCTTGCATCCGCCCTGCCTTCATTTTGTCTTTCTTCTCCTTCCATAATTATTCCTTCCCAGCGAGTCTCCATCCTTCTTTTTTTTTGTTCTTTCAAGGCCCAAAACCTCCCCTGTCCTCATTCCTTGCTGACTTCCTTCTTAGCCTAATGCCTGCGTTGATCTACCTGCTGTTTTTATTCACTTCTTTTCCTTTCTTCGCTACATTCATCATCCTGCCTGACTCTCCCTTTGAGAGTTACTTAGGCGGGATTTACACCGCGGGTCCAAGTGCCCAGTTGCGAGGGAATGTCTTCTTTTTTTTTTTTCCTTTTTCTTGTCTTCATTCTATTTCTATGCACGTCGATATGGAAATACTAATTCATGGCTACATTGAGCCACCATTACAAACCACAATGCCCAAATTGCACGCCACGAATTACAAAAAATATGCAGATCTGAATTTCGTTCATTCTTTTTGTTTTTTCTTTCTTTCTGTCCGTCTTTCCTGAAATCATCTTCCAAAACATTTTCGTCCATTCTCTGCTTTCTTGCTTCCCCTCCCCTCCCTTCCTTTCACTTCTGTCTCCTTCCGACTTCCTTCTCTCCCCTTTTTCTTTATTCCAACATTCCTTTCTTCTTCCCGCCTCCCGTTGAATCGCCGCTTTGGTCCTACTTCAGGCCGGCTGAGCACTCGAGATCGTAGATCAGATGCGACGGCGGCGGCATTAACGACGAGACGTGACGAGCGCCATCGGTGGTCCTACGCTTGTGACTCTCTGAACTTGATTGGATTTAAATGCCCCCTTCATTTTTCTTCCTCTATTATCGCTTCTGTTTTGATCTCATTGGTCGTTTTTCTACATTCATCATCCTGCCTGACTCTCCCTTTGAGAGTTACTTAGGCGGGATTTACACCGCGGGTCCAAGTGCCCAGTTGCGAGGGAATGTCTTCTTTTTTTTTTTTCCTTTTTCTTGTCTTCATTCTATTTCTATGCACGTCGATATGGAAATACTAATTCATGGCTACATTGAGCCACCATTACAAACCACAATGCCCAAATTGCACGCCACGAATTACAAAAAATATGCAGATCTGAATTTCGTTCATTCTTTTTGTTTTTTCTTTCTTTCTGTCCGTCTTTCCTGAAATCATCTTCCAAAACATTTTCGTCCATTCTCTGCTTTCTTGCTTCCCCTCCCCTCCCTTCCTTTCACTTCTGTCTCCTTCCGACTTCCTTCTCTCCCCTTTTTCTTTATTCCAACATTCCTTTCTTCTTCCCTGACTGAATCCAAACTTCTTCACTCTCCCCCGCGACTCCTTACTTCCCGTCTTCCTTCTTTCGCACCGTAATTCCTTCCTCTCTCCTCCTCACCCTCATGCTTGATCTTCCCTCCCTTTTCAGTTTAAATCTGCTGTTGCGCCTCGTGAACCCTTTTCATGCACCCTGTAACCTGATGACATGATAAGCCGGCCACTGTCGTAACCGCTGTCCCTCAAAGGGTTAATGGGGGTCTGCGAGGGTCAACGGTTCATACATGTGCATCCCCTTTTGGAATTTTAAAGAGGTCACACCTGGGCATCACGTGTTGCAATTTTGACTTGAATTTGCCGCAAAGTCTCCACCCAGTCTTTGCCTCTACCTTTTCCGTAGGTCATACCGGTATGCTCACAGACACACACACACACACACACACACACACACACACACACACACACACACACACACACACACACACACGCGTGCACACAGACACATAGCATTCTGTGTTAATGTGCTGTGAGGAGATAGCACGTTGCCGGCCTGTGAAATGGTTTAGCACCACTCCGCCTTGTTGCGGAAAAGAGGCAAAGCGAAACAAGGAGGCTCAAAGGGGTCATATAATTGGGGGGGGCCGATGTCACTTTCTTTCCTGCTCTCTGCCCGGTGCAGCCATTTCACCCGATGCACCAGGAGCCAGTGGCACGCAGAGAAGAAGGAATTTTTATGACGATCGAGAGACGGAAATTCAGAAAGGGCGCAAAAATATGGTTATGCCCTAAAAAAAAAAATATGGCAGGAGTCCCCCTTGGGGGCGCAGGCGCAGCCAGCAGGGGGAGTTGAGAATTCGGGAGAGACGGGGGAATGATGGAGACAGATGGGCAAGGAGAGTAAAGAAAACAAAAGCGTAAAGGTGGGTGGGGTGTTTGGCTCTCCGTTTCAAAGAATGGAAACGAGTCAAGCACAATTATTCTTGATTGAGATTATGAAGGTGTCAATTTATATTTGTAGAGGGCGAATGGTCGGCTTGTCGCATAAATAAATGTGTTTAGCATTGTATACTAGTCGAGGTTATTTCCTTCGTCGTTTGCCGCACCACTGCAATCGTTTCTCACCGAATATTTTCACGACAACATTATTATTGGCTACGTTTGTCTTATGATTGTTTATTTTTAATCGATATGAAATTGCGATTTCAGTTTCAGAACATTTCATTAACCAAACTGTATTCACCGATTACAGCCGGCATTTTATGTTTCGTTCCTGCCGAGTCGATTGGAGTGTGTAAATTGCTTAAGGAACTGCCGTTTGCAAAATAATTATTTCAGACAGCATGGGATTTGTGCTTGGAAAATCACAGAGGAGACAAATGCGCAAAAGCCTCTGCGCGTATGTACACACACAAACACGCACGCAAAGGCAGATTTTCAGAGTCGGTGAAGACAGCGAGGATTTATTCATCTTCATCAAACAAATCCCCCCCCCCCCCCCAAAAAAAAAAAGACAGATCGTCGCGGGTTCAAATTTCTCTCGCTGCTCCACTTTTATCGCCTGCTTTCTTGTTGCCCTCGCTCGATGCGTACACTGCAGGGACATGCAAGTGCCTGCGTCATGCGGCTTTCTCTCTCTCCTTTTCGCTCTCGCACATGTATGCACACATGCATGCGCACACATACACGAGTGTCGGAGAGGGAGCGCAAGCTCTATTTTCTCGACATAATTTTGTCTGACAGAAGTGACAGATATTATTTTATGACTGAATGCCCCCCCCCCACACACACACACACACGCTATTAGGGACTCTTTCTCCCCATAAACGCAAATTTCCACAGCGATAAATCTCTCCTGGTGAGACCTGGCGCTCAGAAGGTGCGCCACGAAAAGCGCCCTGATCCCATTTTTGGCTTTGGTGTTCTCACTCTTATTTTCAGCAGGGATGTGCTTGATTGGGAATGTGTTTGCAAAGGTCAAGCGAAGCACCAAGAGCGGAAGGGGCGGGGTCTGAGCTGAAATGAACCGACGACTTTTCGGTTGTTGTTGCGAGGCACGTCGTCAACGCGTCACCAAGATCCTGGAAATCCGCCTGCGTGTGATGATCCGCTAAGATATCAGAATGCAGGAATCCACCGGCGTCCTGCCATCATGACCTCAGTGCGGCCTCTGTGTCACACCGTTCTGCTCTCCAAGCAACGAGTGTGCGTCATATCGGGTCTGGAGATTCAGCATTTTGCTCCACGCCGCATGAGAGCATCTTTCTACTCTTTCTACGGGCATTCGTTTATCACCGCCCCTTTCTTTAATTAGAGAGAAGCACAGGAAAAAAGGGACCGGGGGGGGGAACAGGAAACCAGATGAGTTGCTGGAAAAACAGCTACGCGTTGCATTCAAACTCAACCTTACCCCTTTCCAAGATTTAAATCCCTCCGAGATTTAAGATTATGGATTTATTAGTGCATGAGCACATTTTTTTTTCTTTTGCTTATTGGTCATTGTTGTAGTCACATGTTTACATTACCTTTATTGTTAGTCGAAAAGAGATGCGCGTGCATATACTTTCAAAATGCAAAACAGCCATGGGGAAACAAATGGAGCACATCTCGGAGAAGAAAAAGTCACACAAGAGACAGTAAGCATGTCACCTCAGTGTAACTGTCCCAAACAACCCATCCCTACGCCCAACACGCACACGCACACACATGCGCAAAGTGTCTACGGGAGTTGACTGAGGCGTCTCTAATTCCTATCAGAGGATAGAAAACCACTCAAAGCAAAACAATTAAAATGCTAATTTCACTTGCTCCACATGACTTGTCGGGCAGGCTAAAAAAGCAATGTTAAAGTGTGTCCTGTATGTCCAAGAACCAACATATGAGTGTGTGGTCAGAGGGGAACAATCACAACCCACCCCACCCCCACCCACCCCCTTACGCAACTTAAAGGGAAGCAAAAACGTTTATCTAATATTTGTTGTCTATTCGTCCAGAGAAGGCCAAAAAAAAAAAAAAAGTTCCGATCTGAATAGTCACGTTTATGCAACCGTTTAAGGGTTTAGACCACCACCTGACGACAAGCACATTGAGAAAAGAGCATGTAGAGGAAATGTATTTTAAATAGGAGTGAGTGAAAGCAAGGATTGCCTTTTTCTGCCTCCTGTCGTATTAATAATTGAGAGTGGAGTGGAGCAAACACTTTTTTTTTTTGTGCTGTTTTTTTTTCCTCTTGCTTGACACAGACATAAATAAACATGATGTGTGTGCACACACACACACACACACACACACACTTACTTATAAGAACAGATTCAGGGGGTGGGTGGTAAGAGCGCATCCATAAGGGAATCTATGACATTGTCGCTCTGAAAACATCATAAATTATTGACCTATGAAGTGTGTGTCAAAACCAGATTCATTTCGGTACATTCAAATTTAGTAGTGCTTACATATACAGTTGCTCAACAGGATTACGTAAAACATATTGTTAAATTAGGAAACAATCCGGGTAGGGGTGGACCCCACAAACATAGACAAGGATCAGATTGTGAGGCAAAAACTGAGACCTTGAGAAAATTGAAGCACATGGAAACGGAGTTGTGAGCGCGGTTTAATAATCTGACAGCCAGTTGTGTGCGCGGCAGAATCTTCAAGGGCAGCTGGTAACGAGACATGATTACAGACAAGTGCGGCTCATGAGAGAAAACCCTCCACTGCCACCTGCTGGAGACAAACAGAAACAGGATCATGACACGTATCTCTTGATATGTCGTCAATTTTGGTGAGGACCGCCATAAAATCTTAAGTTCCAGAAAATGAGAAAGGTGTTGCGCACTTTTCTTTCACTTGTAAGATTATTGTGAGAATTTCTTTTTCAAAATGTGTTCGTATTGTCAGTAATGCGTGATTCCTAATACTGCATCGTAATTGTGGCAAATACAGCAGTTGAGTTTTTATGCACAATGGAGTGTCGTATTAGCATTTCTATTCCATATAGTTTCATCAGCGTGCCCCTTTTGACCTGCCCCTAAAATGTGTTGTCAGAATTATTTTTATGACCTCACCTTTAACTTCAGTTAAATGGACCCGCGATGACGACATCTTTCAACGCAGGTCATCCACGACTGCTAATGCCACTCGTATCCTTGCACTCCTTCATCCCCTCAGATGGGGAAGCTGGACAACGGCAGCCTGACACTGAAGTATCCAGTGTGGCCGCGCTTCAACTCCTTTGGCGACGCTGAGCTTGATGACAACCACTTGTCCATCGTCACGTTAGAGGAGAAGCCGTTTGTCATCGTGGAGGATGTCGAGAGACTGACCGGTACCTGCATGAGGAACTCGGTGCCCTGCAGGAAACATATCAAAGAGTAAGTGTGACTTTTTTTTTCTTCAACTCTTGTCAAACCTCTGTCCTTGTACCTGTGTTTAATAGTCACAGCCAATCAAAAATTTAAAAAAAATAAAAATAGATCCTACTTTGCCTTTGGCATTGTCATTACCTTGGGTCTGGATGCTTTCTTATGTTCTTTGCTTGGGATGAGAGGAGAACGATCAATGCAGCAACTTGTCTCTCTCTCACACACACACACACACACACACACACACACACACACACACACACACACACACACACACACACACACACACAATGCTGAACTCAGCAATTGACTTCCTCTTTTCCAATTTTGTATCTTCCGAAACAATATGGCCTGGGCTCCATTCTTGGAGGCTACGCAATATCAGTGTGACAGTGATTGTGTGCAGCACGCAGTGGCTTGAATGATATGTAATCAAAGCTTTTATTTGTTGGCACCGCACTATTAGTTCTTGCCAGTGACGCACGCGAGCACACACACACACACACACACACACACACACACACACACACACACACACACACACACACAGGCAGGCTCTCTGAAGATTGTGTGCACACTACACACTTAAACCTATCGATGTGTACACAACATTAGCGACGAGAACTGAACTACACACATGAATGCACACACACACACACACACACACACACACACACAAATACAGCTGATTAAGTTGTAATGGAGTCCCAGGGAAGAGGCCGAGAGAGAGATTTTCATCCAGAATCACTGTGAAGTAGGGCGGAGGATAATGCATCTCCTAGGAGCGACACACACACACACACACACACACACACACACACACACACACACACACACACACACACGATCTGACATAAACTCACTTTTGCCACATGCCCACTCACACAGTGCAGTAGATTTCTGCCTCCCATAGCGTAATTCCCACTGAGGCATCCGCGGTGCCCATTTGGAGGACGAAGGGATGGATGCGGGGAAGTAGACGGTCAGAGGGGTGTTGTTGGGATGGAATCAGCGGGGCAGAGGACCATTCATGCATGCAGAATCACAAATCTACTCGTCCAGGCTGGGCCTAAGAACAACTTACATCCACATCACTACGCTGCCCTCCCTGGAGACCCCTGAGGCCTTTAGTGGTTCTATATCAAGTTGGCCTGGCTACTTCACAAAGAGCCTCCATAACATCACATGCTCTCCACCGGCTGTCGAAATGTGCCAACTGCGATCATGAGTGCGGCTATCACACTTCAGGACTGTATGTTAGCTCTGTACCTGCGCCTGCCGACGTTCGTGTCCTCATTTCCGTTACAACAGACTGCCCGGGCGCTTCACTCACAAGCTAGCGCCGTATTCTTATGAACGATGCAATGGAGAAAAAAAAAATGGTGTGTTGGATTGACTCCATTTCATTTCGTCAAGTGGTTGCACAAAATGAAATCATCTGGATCCAGGTTCATTTTTTTAAAAAGACAATATACATCTCCAAAAAAAAAAAAAAAGCAGTCAATCCATACGCTGTACATACCAAGACCCATTTTGTGTAAGTTTAAAGATTCTCCTGGTTGTACTCCCAAATAGCCCTTCCATTCCTTTTATCACTTTCGAAACAAGTGCATCGTGACAAAAATAAGAACAGGCAAGAACCCCGGTTTGCTTGAGATGATTTTTGACACATTGACAGCTAGTGATTGTAACAACTGAGTTTGCAGCGGAAGCAAGAGTTGGCGAGTGGTCCCCCCCCCCTTGTTTCTCTCCAACACAACATAAATCCTCCAAAGTGACATTGTTCCGATTCCGAAGGTAACTGCTGAGTCACGACTGAATGTAAAAGTTTGGGGCTGTTTTGTTTTCCCTCTCATCCTTCTATAAGTTTTGGTTCAGGGCGCAAAACTGAAAGACAAGGTTGTGTCGTCCTAATTAGCACACATCTGAAAGTTAAATGAGAGTCCCAGGTGGCATAAAGTTGATGTGCAGGGTTTGCGTGCGTATGTGCGCGCGCAGATGGCGCAAGGTTTGAGGATGCCGTGCCATCATAAAGTCCGGATTTAGTCAGTTGAATTTAGAAGAAAAAAAACGGCCATATCTTAACATGACAAGTTAAGCTGAAAATGTAGCAGTTAATAAATATATCTATAGTTATATATGTTCACCGATTTGTTCATGTAATATGTGTTTGTTTGTGTTTCTGCAGCAACACAACTGAGGCTGGAGGGACATACATTAAGAAGTGCTGCAAAGGCTTCTGCATTGACATTTTGAAGAAGATAGCCAAATACGTCAAGTTCACCTATGACCTGTACCTAGTAACCAATGGCAAACACGGAAAGAAGATTAACAACGTCTGGAATGGGATGGTGGGAGAGGTGAGAGGGGCACTTTTGACTCTCACGCACAGCTTAACAATGGATAAGAATGTTCTCAGATGAGGCAGACAACCGCGAGTCACACTTGTTGCGATATAATTATCTTGAAATAATTACTTTAGTCGCATGGTGAAGTCCCAGAGGTCAAATGAAGACAGCTCATTATGTTGGAGTTGAAACCTAATGGCAGGCATTGCTGACTTGAAGATGACCAGACATTCTTCGTACCCTCATCGTGACTCACACAATTTTCAATGCTTAATTTTAATTTAGCGACTATTGCCAGTGAGTCATCATCATTGTTTTGCACATATTCTTCTTTTCGTCCTCCTCCACGATCCTTTACATTTTTATTTATACGTGACCCCGTTTCGATTCTTCACATTTCACTCGCCACCTCAAATATTGGATTTTCCATCATCGCTTTAACCTGGCTCTCCTGTTTGCCTTCGTCCTCATTTGTCCGCCACCCTGCCCTGCCCCTGCACACCCCAAGGTGGTCTATAAGAAAGCCGTCATGGCCGTCGGATCTCTGACGATCAATGAGGAGCGTTCTGAGGTCATCGATTTCTCCGTCCCATTCGTGGAAACTGGGATCAGCGTCATGGTGTCCCGTAGTAATGGAACCGTGTCCCCTTCAGCCTTTCTTGGTAAGCATCATTCCATGTTTTTATGTCCCACAGAGCATTCGATTCGAAAGCCATGTCTTGTTTTCGGCTTGTGTGAATGTGGAAATGTCATCATTTAGGAGGTGAGTGTGCCCTGTGATACAAAGCTGACAACACAGCCCAGTTCTGTTACCCAGCAGTCGATACTGACCTCGACACTGACCTGTGTACACGGTTTCTGCTGGGAGGGATGATACTGTGTTTTCACAGCAACAAATATTTATCAATATATATTTTTAACAAAGGCTTTTCTTGTCACCAAAAATAGCAATTCGGGTCACTGACAAACACATGGTTTAATAAAAAACTTAAACCAGTTTCAGGCACAAGGCCATAACCTCAAAGTCTGGTCTGAAGACACTCAGTCAGCTGATAGGCATAGAAGTGCAAAAGCTCATGGCTCAGGCTTACGGGCTGCTCATGGCAGCATGAAGTCTCTCTCACACACACACACACACACACACACACTGAGCATGTATGTAGCACACTGCCGTGAAAGTGGCAATTAAAAGGGCTTAGCTGGAACGCCCCATGATGGCCGCTCGCCAATGCGTTCCTGCTCACAAGCGATGCAGCCCCTCCGCCATACGTTAGAGGCTTGCTTTAATCTCTGCAGTGGTCTAGTTGGCTCAGAGGGAGGACAGAACTGCTGACACCAGGGCTTCCGACGCCTCTTCACACTGTCAAACCATAGATCTGCCTGTGTATATGCACACAGACGCGCGCACACACACGCACACAGCTTTGGGGTTTAAAAGGGGTGCCCGCGAACTAGCTCACTGTGGCACTTTACTCAGCAGCTCATGTGCGTAATTGATTTCCGCATTCAGATCATGGAAAGGCAGAATGAGACCGAGCATGAATCACAAGAAGTGATGTGTACTGTTTGAAAATGTGACTCAGCGTGTCTTATTAACACTAAATCCCTGTCATCTTATGTCACTCTTGCCCTCTCTTAGAGCCATTCAGTGCATCAGTGTGGGTGATGATGTTTGTGATGCTCCTACTGGTGACTGCGATGGCTGTTTTCATGTTTGAATACATCAGTCCTCTCGGCTTCAACCGAAACCTGGCACAGGGGAAAGGTAAGCATGCCCACATAATTACATGCGGTAGTGTGGACAAAAAGGATTGAATTTGCGCATGTGAGCTAAAATTCTCTTTCAATTATATGGTTAGAATATTGCGGCAAATTTAGATCCGCTTCTCCCTCAATTTTTCTAGCAACCATGTTCGCATCGAAATACGTACTGCGCAATTAGGTCCAAACGCCTGCTGCTGGAAGCCGCCAAGTAGTCACATCACGTTGCCTAAATTATGCCTCCGTTGCTTTAAGACGAGGCTTGCTCTATGCCAGATAACAACCTTGAGACAAGCATCAGATTCATGACACGACGGCACAGGCTGAAATTTCTCCGCACGACGCTGAATGCCCAGACAAGTATTGTTCAGTAAAAAGGCGGTATATCAGTCTTATCATCCTTCTGTGTTCCCAATCAGACCCCCACGGTCCTTCCTTCACCATGGGCAAAGCGGTGTGGCTGCTCTGGGGTCTCGTCTTCAACAACTCCGTACCGGTGCAAAATCCAAAGGGAACAACCAGCAAGTTTATCGTGTCTGTGTGGGCCTTCTTCGCTGTCATCTTCTTGGCTTCCTACACTGCCAACTTGGCCGCTTTCATGATCCAGGAAGAGTTTGTCGACCAAGTCACGGGGCTTTCTGACAACAAGGTAAAAGACAGTGAGCTGAGTTGTAATAGCCACCCATCTATTTCCGAGAAGGATCATTCTAATTCTCAATCTATGATGTAGAGTCTTCCCTCGCTACTTTGCGGTTTGTTATTGCGGATTCAGTCAAAGTGTCCAGAAAAACAGAGTACAGGAGCCAGATGTGCACAAGCTGCTGATTATAGGCTGCCTTCAGAAATGAATGTGAGCGGAGCATCCTTTGCCGCCAGCAGCACATGACGACTACAAAACGCCTGCTTAATAACAATGTTAACGTTTTTCTTTTTACTTTAAAATGGCTTACCTTAAATTGTATTGGAGCCAAAGATATAACCTCGATGAATGAATGTGTCTTTTGGCACTCTAAATCGTGGAAACTGAAAGCTAATTGCCATGGCTACCACTCTTTTGGTTCTTCTTCTTCTTTTTCCGATTCTTCTTTGTCCTCTAAATGGCAGACAAAGAAGAAGAACTACCGGAGTAACTATGGAAGTCAATGAACAGTCGTCATGGTGACTCGTTTACTGTTTTCACATGGAGTTACAGGCCTGGTATTCTTTATTTTGCAGGAAATGCGGAAATTAGTCGTACCGAATCAGGCTAACGTGTTTTGTGTGTCTCAATTGTTTTTTTGCATTTTTTTTTTAATTCCCACACTTTGCCCCTTATGAAAGGGTCAAAACGTCTTTAAAAAGCCGACCTGTTGGCGTTGCTTAAAGAAGACCTAAGGTCAAGCCAAATGTATTTGATCAAACAAATGAGGAGCGAGTGAAAAGGGAAAAATAGATGAGATTCAAGGAGCAGGAGAGTGTTGTCGACTGACGTGGAAGCTTCTGACAACATTCAAGGGAGAGGTGCGGTGATGGTAGCAGCAAACTGGCAGGGGGTGGGGGGGGTGGCAACTGTGGGATTGTCAAAGGCCAAGACGCACATGAAACGAGACAACAGGCGGACAGATATGGGCCATGTTTTCATGGCTGAGGTAAGGAGAAAGGAAAGACATCCGGCGGGGGTGGGAGGGGGTGTTGCAAGAGCAAACAAGATATAGACAGGATGGGAGGGTCAGCCAAAGAGAAAGGAAAGACATCCGGCGGGGGTGGGAGGGGGTGGCAAGAGCAAACAAGATATATGGGCTGTAAAATAAAAGCTAAAAGGCGATTTCACATACATTTGCTGTACAGGACTGGACAACAAGCTGCGTTTGACCTGCAATACAGCAAGCAAAATTGACCTCCAAGCTCCTGGCCAGTGATTCCGCCCCTGAAAAAATATTTTAATGTTTAGCAATGGGGGATGAAAGGTCACAAATCTACTCACCAGAAAAGAAGCCCCATAGTTTTTTTTTTAAGACTTACAAAGGTTACATCTGAATGGATTTGTGATTCTTGTCACCACAGTGTAAGTGTCTGTTTTTTTTTTTAACCTCCTTTGCACAGCCAAAACCGAAGCACAACAGTTTGTAGTTCAAAATCGAGTCATAAACTTTCTTTTTTTTTCTTTTTCTGACTACACACGAAATAACATTCCAGTGTCTTCCCCGTGGGCATTTAAATTTGTGACATTATTAGTCACGACATTAATCTAAAATTACAATTCGGTACGCTATGTGATTCTTCTGACTGGTGGAATCGAGTGCACAGCCGTAAACAATCGCACACAACAGGTTTGAAATGTAATCACAGTTGTGGGGGGTTTTCACCCTGATAAAAATTGCTGCCGGTGATATTTGTTTATCCTGTTTTGCCAAAAATGACAGTAAGATTTTTATAAAGGAAAAAAATTTGATGTTTACGAGCCTGTAAGTATCCTCTGCAGGCTGTCTTCTGAATACCCTCCAGCTTGGTGATGTTAGACTTCGCTTCCGTGTGTTGTTTCCTGCACCCCCGGGATTTGTGAAAAGAAAAGACAGCGCCGCATTCCGGTTAATGTCAAGATTTCACTCTTTGAGGACCCTGCTTCCTGCAAACACTGCCAATTTGGGCAACGGGCTGATGTCAGGAGAACAAAGGGGTGATAGATCTCTGCTACCGATGTTCAAAGTACCTTCATGAAGATAATGATGCTCAGTTATGATTTTCAGTGTGCTGTAGATGCATTTCATTTCTACACCGCTGCGAACTACAACCACATCATCGCACTCGAAGAGTCTTAAAAGGCGTATGTTGACTTAAGTCTTTCCAAACAGCCGTGCTATTTGAACTCAGTAGTTGAACCTTTTTGCAGATGTTGGTAGTTATTGTTTTACTGCTATCCCTTTGTTTTTTATTACTTTTTTTTTTTTTTTTATTGGTACGGGAGACAACAGACAGTCCTCAACATAGACAAAGGCACAGACCGACCAACGTTCACAGAGGGAGACATTTGCTTGCATAACAGCCAAACTTGCATAAGCTTGAAGGGAGAAAGTAGACCAAGGCCAAATGAAAAATCCATTAAAGGAATGTTGTGTAAAATGAGAGCGACGCAGCGCTGGGAAGCAATATTCATTAAAAAAAGCAAAGTGGTCATGTCTGACTTCGTTAATTACGAGGGCAAAATCAGTTGTGGAATACTTTGACAAAGAAAAAGGGTCAGGTATGAAGTGCCTCTTAGTCCTCTTGCCCGAAAGATGAACCCATTTGGGCTTTCAGCCCTTTCCCATCGTGCCCTCGTACAACTTTTATTAGCAGTGGATGACACTCCAATCTGCTCCTCCCCATTTCGCCCACGACGCTAACCCCGAGCTCACGGGCTAACCAACATGGGGCCGCGGGCACCGGGGAGCCCCCCCATGCGACACAAGAGTGGCCTGTGAGCCTGTTCTAAAAATAGAATAAAGCGACCAAATCCTGACCCTGTTTTCAAACTACAAAAGAAAAGGAGCAAAGTACAAAAACAAATCACACGCCCAAATCAATCTTTCATACTCTCTCCTTTGTACTCCATGTGGTTCTCTTCTACAGTTTCAGAACCCGTATGCATACTCACCCCCATTCCGCTTCGGCACGGTTCCGAACGGATCCACTGAGCGGAACATCAGGAAGAACTACCCATCCATGCACCAGTACATGGTCAAGTATCACCAAACAGGAGTGCAGGATGCTCTTGTCAGCCTAAAATCTGGGTAGGAAAACACTGTTTGTGAGTGATTGTGAGTCTGCGAGGTGATCTCGAATGATTGTGTCCGTGGCAAGAGCGGAGAGGCGATGGTACTGATTACAATCAAATGAATGGACACATTTTGCGTCATAACCGCATATCCACGAGCACATGTGCACACCCCATTTAATTACGAGCATAAAAATGCAAGTTCATTAGCATAAACCTTTTATGATTATTATTCTCATTTGTTTTTGTACAAAACACAATTAAAATCATCAGGGGTGGAAAGGGGGGGGGGGACAGGCTCAAGTGTGAATGCACAAGTTTCTCACAATTACAACGGGAATGTGTGTGTGTGTGTGTGTGTGTGTGTGTGTGTGTGTGTGTGTGTGCGCGCGTGTGCGTGTGTGTGATGTCTGAACGTGTGCTTGCCACTACGTATGTGACAGCTCCTGTGAGACTGGGGATGAATGAGACTCCTCAGTGGGAACAGCAGGATCTATTTTTAGTGCCTGATCTCTACAATGGGACTGGCTGCAGTTGGTGTGTGCGTGTGCGTGAGTGTTTGGGCTGGGGGTGTTTAAGGCTTATAACACAGCGAACCAAGGACATATTGGGAGAGTGGAGTGCTTGAATGGCCAGATGATGAGAGTTGAGGGGGCAGGGAAGAGAAAAAAAATGGAAGTGTGAACTCGTCTCATTATGGAAAAAAGGAAGCAAGGGGGCGAGTGGGGCTGTAGGGGATGGGGTGCAAGAAGTCAAGAGCAAATTGTCTGATTGGAAAAATTGAAGGAATTGAGGAGGCTGTCGGTTCAGGCGAAAAAGAAAGTCGTCATGGATTGGATGAGGACAACAAAAGAAGGAAAAGGGAAAATTCAAGATGAGAGCAAATTGTACCCGAGTACCCAGAGAAAACCCGTGCAGGCACGGGGAGAACAGGGGGCGTGCTAACCACCGTGCCGACTTAGAATGAAACAAAAAAATGAAACTGCGGCGGCTGCTTTCTCTCATCAATTAGCAGGAGCTATGGAGACACGAACCGCTATTGTATCTGTGTCACACATTATCGTATCGCATACATACAGCGAGTATACAAAAGCAAAGCTCCAAGCAAAAGCCATGACAAAGTAAACATGTATGCTCGCGTGCATCTGCACTCCAACAGCGAACTGACGGGTCTGCGTCTGCAGTAATTCCCTCATTGATAATTCTATTTGGCGGCATTAGCAGATGAGCAATGCTGCGGCATTCAGCTGTTTAAGGCTCGATGGCCGGATTAGCGCTGATCACACATAATGCTGGCAGGCTTTACATGCGCAATCTGCTACAGCCCCGCGAACCAAAACGATGCGCAGCGGCGAGTTTTAAATCATCTGATCGTACTTTGAAGTAAGTCGCTTGAGATTCGGAAAAGTTTGGAAATTTGGTACGGTTGCCATATGGTTGAGCACGACACAACCTACCGTACGCATTATTTGGTACAATAACATAGACCAGACCATTCAAGGACCTGCAACCTGTTTATGTGCGCGTGTGTGCATATGTATGTGTGTGTGTGTGTGTGTGTGTGTGTGTGTGTGTGTGTCTTCATCTACTATGCTCAGGTGTCCTTGGAGGAGGCGTCATCTTGATGGCAGCATCTGTTGCTCAAAAATGTCCTGCTTTTGAATTCATTGTTGAATCGCAGACAGGACAGTTGCCTTTGCCGAGAAGACCCAATCTGACTTCCGGACATCATAATAACAGCCTGGATGGTCTATTTTCTCTGTGCTCCTGACCAGATTCAATGGATCCGACCGCAGTTCCACACAATTACACAGTGGGAAGCAGGTTCATTTCACACGGGCTTGTGCCCAAATATGTTTACCGAGCTTCTCTTTTTACAGTAATCCTCAACTGAAGTGTTGAAGAATGTTCCATGGCTGTGGATCGACACAGGATCTTCATACCAAACTCGATTCTATTCTATTGCAACACCAATTGCCCTTCAGATTCATTCCATGAAATTTGCATGCCTCTCACCGCATTTCTTTCAACTTAAAATATTTACTGCCGGCCTGACACCTCCCCCGCATCAAGTGCTCCCCAAGGCTCTGTCCTCTGCCTCGTTGCGCTTCCTCTGTCATTCAGGTCCACTGCTATGATGGAACTCAACTTTTCACTGTATTTGTTTGTAGGTGTTTTTTTTTTTCCCAAATAATTTTTCTTTTAGTTTTATATAAGGTGTCCTTAGGCTTCGGGGTTCTGAAAGTAGCAAATTATTAGCAGTAGTCGTACTATATGAAAACCACTAATTGACTTTTTACTTGTATGAAATAATGTGTATTCCAGTTGTTGTTGTTGTTTTTTTTTTTTTAAGAGTCAAACAATCACACATTTATTCTCACACTTTAGACTGTCGACTCAGAGTCTTGATGTGGATGGAGCCATTGCTGGCTTAAGCTAATTACAAAGCTTAACTGTTGCCCGTGAGCCTTTGTTAAAGGGCTGATCTGACAATCTGTAAATGCCACGCGGTCGCAACACTATTAGTAGGTCTGCGTGTGTGTGTGTGTGTGTGTGTGTGTGTGTGTGTGTGTGTGTGTGTGCGTGCGTGTGCGTTTGTGTTCGTGTGTGTTCGTGATGCGATCAGACTGAAAATGTCAGGGCTGAGGATGCATGTGTGGTTTCGGGTGTGAGGAGGAGGTCAAAGGCAGAGACAGAGGGGGGGAAAAAAAAGGATGGTGTGAGTGTTTGTGTTTGTTTAAAGTTTGTTGTGCATGTGCCTCCAAGGCCCAATTATCAGTGAAGTGTGTGTATTGAACTGCCCCTCCTCTCTGTGACCTCCACGGGTTGGATAACGCTTGGATTGAACTCCTATTGGAGATGATTTACTACCGAATTGATCCCCACAAACAAAACATTCTGGAGGGTGTCTCTCTCTCTCTCTCTTTCTCTCTCTCTCTCTCTCTCGTCATTCACGCTCTAAAAACTGTTTGGCTCCCCCACATGTTGTCTTTATCCCGTCCCTTTTGTCTGATATTCCTTCCTTGCAGTAAACTGGATGCCTTCATCTATGATGCCGCGGTGTTGAACTACATGGCTGGCAGAGATGAGGGATGTAAGCTGGTGACCATTGGCAGCGGGTAACTGAAACTTGATTATCTGTTTTGTTTGACTCGGGCCAGCTGTGTTTTGTTTCGCAATATAGTCTCATTCCAGGATCATTCTAGAGATTTGACATTTGTGGTCTTTACTACTGGTGACCCGGTCTCGACACCTCTCAACTCTTTCCTCAATGTACATTCACTGTTGTTAATTTGTACAACTGTAGGGGGAGCCGTGGAGCAAAACAGTACAGTATGTAATTTGATCTCCGTGTTTATGTAATCACAATTCACCTGCATTGGTTCACTATTCTTTAAATACAGAGAGCATCTGGTCTAATCGAGTCAAAGGTGACTATTAAAGCAACGTGTCTGTGTTTGTGTGCGTGTGTTTGGACCTTGACGCGTTCAGGTACATCTTTGCCACCACCGGATACGGCATTGCTCTCCAAAAAGGCTCCTACTGGAAACGACAGGTGGATCTGGCTATTCTGGCCATCATTGGAGATGGTGAGAAACATTCGCAGCACCATTGTCACGTACAGTCAGTCGAGCATTAAGGCTTCGGGGATTCATGGTACTCTTTCTTGCCAGCATTGTAAATTTCGTTGACACACACACACGCTCACTCGCGCACATCTATCGCCTTGTCTGCTGACGACACCAAAAAGAAGCAGCGAAGTATAAATAGTCGTTTGATGTTATTCCGGACACAAAAGGCTGCTCTAAAGAGAGAGCCAAGTGTGCAATGTTTCGAAGACTCCTTTCTGCAGTACAAATCTCTTTTTGTGTACGTGTACATTAGCTGAATCTCATTTTACAATGCTGTTCCTCTTCAAAACAGGTTGCAGGTTTTATCCAAAAGTATCCATCAAATACCCTTTGTCATTTCTTTCCATATGTGAGGTTTCCACTTTGACACATGGGAAGGCCAGATTCAAACCCCCAAACCTCCGATTCTGTGAGGCAGATGCGCTGACCATGAGCTCATTGTGCTCCCTCCCTTTAATTATTTGCCCAATAAAATAAAATAAGCGTGTACTTATTTCCTGGCAAGCAATGGTGACATCTTGTACTGTGTTTATGTTTAACTTGACGGTTAACACCTTTCGCAATTCATCAAATGCTACCGAGTGGAGAACTGAATGGCTATAAATTATCAGCGACTGCCTGTGCTACAAAAAAAAAACTCCCGGGCAAGCATTAAGTGGATGTGCTAAACCTTTTGTCACGTAAGCATGAAGGCACTTTCTTTGATTAAATGATATCCCGTTGTGTTTGTTTTTTTGTTTTCTGCAAGGCTGAAATACTTCAAACTTTATCAAACATTTTAAGCGGTCTACTTCTGAGCACCCAGTTGCAGCTTTCGTTTTTCAGCTTGCATTTACCGGTAATTACAGCAGCGGTCCTGATATCACAAAGGAAAGGAAAGCAGAGGGAGAATCAAGGTCTTTTTAAAAAAATGCTTGAGAAGTATTAAGTCGGAAAGGTGTGAGCAAAATACTGTCTCAAACAATCGTCGAGTGACTCGGAGCACCTCTCATCCAAAACATTTCAAAGAGGGATGAAGTTTTCTTTCTTTGGCCCTCTCAGGCGAAATGGAAGAATTAGAGGCTCAGTGGTTGACGGGCATCTGCCACAATGAGAAGAATGAGGTGATGTCCAGCCAACTGGACGTGGACAACATGGCGGGGGTCTTCTACATGCTGGCTACTGCCATGGGGCTCTCCCTCATCACTTTTGTCTCTGAGCATCTCTTCTACTGGAGGCTCAGATACTGCTTCACGGGGGTCTGCTCTGGCAGGCCGGGTCTTCTCTTCACCATCAGTCGGGTAAGAGCTTCGGAGGTGCAGGAGTTATGGGTTGGCTGAAAAAATTACGTCTTTTTTTTTTTTTTTTTTAGAATTTGGGATGAACACTTCTTGATTTCTGAATGGATGAGAATGAGTCGGGGGTTTGACATGTCCAAGTGGGCACACGGTTTGCAATGACTTGCAGTTACAATGGAAACAACATTCAACTTAAAGTAACAAAACTATTAGCAGTACAATAATGTGGCCATATTTTTCGACCAGTAGATTATACGAGAAAGACAGCGGAGGATCGTGGCCAACTTTGGAACTCCAAGAAACGAGGCAAATGAGTGAGGGGCGCGCTGAAAGACTGCTTGTGCGCAATTTAGTTTGAGTTTGAACGTGAGCGCAGGAAGAAAGAGATGAAGGAAAATATAAAACTCTTCTGGGGAAAATGTTAAAGGCCGCATAGAGCCCTCGAAGTGATTTTGATAAGCCTCCCAAAAGCCAGTAAGGTGGTAAATGACTCTCTAATTAATGTAGGATTTTTGTGAATTGCGTTTTCAGTGTAAACAGACTTTCTCACCCTCAATTACGAGCGTTTAATTATGGGATACCAAATATTGGAGCTCAACTTTTCCCCTGTCAACCACCAATACAAAATGTCTTACTTGCCAAGGTTCTGATGCATTAAATCATTTTTTTGTATCCATATTTGCAAGGAAATAAACACTGGCTGGCTTTTTTGTCATAAAGGATGTTGTTGTGCTCCAGTGGAGCAGAGACTCGATTCATATTGAAGCCATAACCCCAATGAAACAGCATTCAACTTTTTTCAGTATTTAAGATAGATTTTCTCCAAACTCTGAGAAAAAAAAAATCTGCGAGGGAAGATGAACGTGCTTTGTGAAAAAGTCTGCCCTGGTTCATTATACACGGTGACTCGCTGAGTCACCTCCACTGGAATGAACTGAACACATCATGTCTGGCTTGAGACGATACGTGATCATGTTTCTTCTCCTCTCTCCTCATTTTGTCTGAATCCTTTTGTGTTCAATTCATACTTGTTTCTTTTCATTTCCTGTTATCTCTTCACCTACCTCCTCTTGGTCTTCTTTTGTTGTGTTTCATGACTCACTCATTCCAACTCTGTCCCCTTCTACATGCCGCATGTTCGTCAATCTGTTGCCACGCAGGGTATCTGGAGTTGCATCCACGGAGTTCACATCGACATGAAGAAGAAGACAGATCTGGACTTTAGTCCGCAAGACAAGATGCTGAAGCTCATCCAGTCTGCCAAGCACATGACCAACATGTCGAACCTGGCCGGCTCTCACATGAACTCACCCAAACGCGAGTTCATGCACTCCGCCGGCCCCATGATCATGGACATGATGGCCGAGAAGGGCAATTTCATTTACGCCGACAACCGAAGCTACGCTCCCAAAGATATGATGTACGGGGACGCGGGTGACCTGCCGTCGTACCTTGCGACCCGCCACAAAGACCACCTCAACAACTACATCTTCCAGGGAGGCCAGCATCCTCTCACTTTGAACGATGCCAATCCCAACTCGGTCGAGGTGGCAGTTACAGCTGACACGGTCCAGACCAACGCCAAACCGCCGCGGACCCTGTGGAAGAAGTCAGTTGACACGCTCCGCTCGGTGCCGCCGGGAACCTCGCCCATGCCCGACATGCTAATGCCGGACCCTCGGATGTCAATGAAGACCCAGCGCTACCTCCCCGAGGATACGGCCCACTCTGACATCTCCGACTGCTCCAGCAGAGCGGCTTCCTACAAGGACCCGGAAAACAACAAGCACCTGAAATCCAAGGACAACTTGAAAAAGAGACCCGTGACTTCCAAATACCCGAGGGACTGTAGTGAGGTGGAGCTGTCTTACTTAAAAACGAAACAGGTCAGCGGCGGAACCAACCAACTTGGGAGAGGCGGCGGAGAGAAAATCTACACCATTGACTCTGACCGAGAGATGAGCTTGCACTCAGACCCCATGCACTACCGAGAGAGTCGCGGCCTTGCCGCCGACGATTTGGAGTACCCAGAAATATACTCGGACCATAGCGATAACTTTAGAAAATGTGAGCAGCCCATCATCCACCTGAACTCCTCACCACTGCATCACACCGATGCGGATCTTCTGCCAGACCAAACTTACGCGAAACACTACAGCATGAAAGAGAAAAACCTTTCCCCGCATGAATCCATTGATCGTTATAAACAGACGCACTGCCGTTCCTGTTTGTCAAAGGTTACTGCTGGCTACCCTCCCGGAGGGACTTACACCCCTACGGGATCCGCCTCGGCTTCTTCTACCCGCTCGCCATATAATCGATGTGAAGCGTGTCTCCACACGGCGAACCTGTACGACATTAGTGAGGACCAGCTTCTGGCAGACCCCTTGGTGAGCCCCACCATGCACCACCAACAGCCGCCGCCGCAGCAGCAGCAACCCGATGAAATGTTTGGTCTGTACTGGCCGCAAACAGATGGACCGCACGTCCAGAAGAGAAACCGCTTGAGGCTTAACCGCCAGCACTCCTTCGACAACATATTGCTCGAAAAGCCCAAGGATTCAGACCTCGGCCGACCGGCGCGCAGTGTCAGCCTCAAGGAGAAAGATCGTTTTCTGGACTCCGCATCTGACTCGCACTACGCAAACCTCTTCGGCATGCGTCCCTACTCCGGCAGACTGTTTGGCACCGGCTCCAAATCGATGATGTTTAATCACAACCTCGAGGAGAGCAAAAGGAGCAAGTCCCTGTACCCGGCCCATGGCTCGGAAAACCCTTTCCTCAGCCACTCATTGAGGGACGACACCAGCAGCAGACTGTTCCATGGGCGGAGCTCCTCCGATATTTACAAACAGCTGGCAGTGGCTTCGCCAGCGGCGCTTCTTGGAGCGGCCCCCATCAAAACGCGCAACGATGCGAACAATCTCCGCTCCTCCGCTAAATCCACCACCTCATACTGCTCGCGGGATGGGCGGATAGCTAACGACATGTACAAGAAAGAGCATGTAATGCCTTACTCTGCCAATAAGACTTGTGCGTACCCAGCCTCACGTGGCGTCCTTAACTCAGCTCAGTTCAGCAATAGACGGGTGTATAAAAAGATCCCTAGTCTGGAGTCGGATGTTTAAGTCAAAAATCATATATGTTCTCCTCCCTGAGTTTGTATTATAATTTCGTATCCACGAAGGGATGTCATAGCCACGCTTTTCTTTTCGTGACGTTGTATTCTCCAAGAACCTTCACCCGTATGGGTGTCAATGTACAGCTTTTGTCTTTTCAGGTGATATCATCGTTTCTGTTTGTTCTCTACCATATACTCATTACTTGGCTGCTTGAGAAAGTACTTTGCCATGAGGCGTTGCGCAATACCTGGGAGAAAGAGTTATCGACTCCGTCGTTTTTTTTCTCGGAAGCACGATTTCGGAGAAGACTTGCTATTGGGAAAAGAGATGATTGGTTGTGATCGAACAAATGGAGAAACATCATCATGGAGGATGACGTGAATGTGCGACGGATAAAGCACAGGTTTGGATTTGTTTTTGAAACCATCCTCCTGGTCCATATTTCTCCAACTTGCGGGTGTAGGATTATTTACAGGGAGACTATATTGGGCACATGAAATGTGTCGACCTGAAATAGGCCATCTCAGGAGGGCAGGATGCCACAATGAGCCAGTCCGACAGTCTGCTACTTATTACATTGACATAAGTGTGACATAATATGGACACGAATGGGCTCAATGGCACAGGGGGGAACATCTACCGTTTGGAAGCGGCTGTTTAGACCAAGCTTGGGAACTGTGAGCGGAGTAGTGTAGGTGCTACCAATGAAATAATGTTTACAGACTGATAAAAAGACAAAACTGACACCGTGGTAGACAAGCAGGAAAGACTGATGCAAAGTACTGCTTTTTTTTTTATTCTATTAAACCTATAAGATTTTGAGATTCTGACACTTGGAATCCACCTGTAGGCTTTGAGTGTTTGCTTAATTGTTAGCACAGTAACCGTTAGTTTTAAACCTCTTTCCTACAATCGTTTTTAAAAAGCAAGGCTTTCTGAAAAACACCAATCCAAAGCAGTCGATTTGTTTTTGCATGGGCCCATTTTTTTCCCCCCATTGCAGCTGAGAAAAAAAAAACACATTCTAAAATATATTGTTGTCAATGTTTCTAACAAAGGGGCCCCTTTGCAGCCAGATGTGGCGTATGGACGTTTGTACAATCGAAACATTGACCTTAGTCAATGTTTAGAGGCTACTGTTGCAAGAAGAGCAAGAATGAGAAACGAGAACACGGCAAATAGGTGGAAAAAGATCAAATCTATTGAAATTGTGGACTGGATGAAGATGCTTGATTGTTCGATGACCTCCTTGCAGATGATATACAGGGTACTCGTTATTTTTGAAAAACAGGTGACTCCTCCCCCTCCCTTGCTCGATCACTCCACTAGGGTGTAATTTATTTTATTATATATATTTTTTTCCTTCACACTGGATAGTGTATATTGTACAGTAGTTACTTGGACATCAATTGATTTTCATTCGCAGTCGAGCGGGGTTCCTTATTTATTTGTCACTTCATACGTTAGGATGTATGTATGATGTGAGTCGGGCAAGATGGGATGGTCAAAGTATTGTGTGTGTGCATGGTAGCCCTTGGGTAAGCTTGAAGACAAAAAGAGTCATAGTGCTTTTTTTTTCATTTCTGTTCTTTTTTGACACATGCACACATTGTACAAATGACTGCACACTTTTATTTTTTTTTTTGGGGGGGTAGCATTTTTACTCTGCACCATCTACAGTTGAAAAAGAGAAAATACAAGAAAAAAAAATAGGCTTCTTATCTGATTTCTTGATTTGCCCGATTGGATTGACAGAGACAAATTGTATCAAATGAAATACCTCAGGATGATGATGATGATGAGTATTTTGAGGGAGCGTCAATCATAGCAACGCAAAAAGACACTGACTATTTTGTAGAAAACTAACCAAAAACATTTTTCTTTTTTTTAAATGTTCATAGTGGCAGCACACAGAACCAAACTTGTTCTCCTTTTTGACATGTCAACGTCTTCCAATTGAGGAGGGAAACAGGAGGGGGGATTGTGCTCATGGAGGAGGGCGTGACCGTGCCGTTTCTCCCTGTGCCAAAAAGTGCACTATAACAGAATGAAGGATGTTAATTAAATGTCCCAAAATTTTGCCACCCTTTGATGAAAATGCTTTTTATGTTGTTGCTTTTTTTTTTTTTATATAAATGATGGCATTTGACTGCCTTTCAGTTGGAGCTCAACAACCACATCATATCACCCTTTCTTACTCTTGTACTACTTCCTTCCATTGCTTCAGCTGAACCCACTGACTGATGAGTAATATGTTGTCCTTTTTTTTTTTTTTTGCATCTTATCTGCATATTTATTAACATATATATCTCCACACACTGCTTGTGTGAGCTGATGAGTGAATGAGTGAAGTGAACAATGTAA